CACCGCGCGACAAGACAGGAGTTGATTCACCCAGTTGGAGGTTTTCTAGTGGCAGACATTTAAAGCTCGTACTGATCAACAACCCTCCATCAAATTCAGATCACCTTTATTAATCATAAACAAGAAGCCGACATCTAACTCTGATTAAGCTTGTTAGTAGGAAGGTAGTTTGCTGACTGGTTCCCTTTGTGCTTCAAATCTCGGCCAACATCGTGAGCTACTCATCTGTTCTGACGGACCTATTTTGTCAAAGGCGGAATGTTACCCAGCAATAGATCAACCGACTGTTTTCCAAACTTTTCTAAAGACATCTGGATATATTTGACAACGGAACTGGTGACTTTGGCAATCCAGTGGTCTTTTTGGCCGAATATAACCTGCTGAATTGGTATACACGATATCTTTGTAATGCACTACTCATACGGTTGCTGAAAATCCATCAGCTGGGTTCCAGGTGAGTCTCTCGAAAAACCAAATTAGTTTGCAAATGAGTGTATATTCGCTGGTATACACGATGTTTACAGATAGCGTCAGTCATCAGGACGACTTCTGCACTTGTGTGCAATTCCACACAACAGGCCTGTGCAATTGCCATCCGAAATTTCTACGTTACAATGGTTAAATTAAAACCTCATAATTCCAAACCCAATCGATCTTGACAGGAGAAGCCAGTCGACCAATATCTTGTGCATAAACTTTCGCTTAGGTTTACACAATCTCTTTGTTTAATAAAAATAAATCAAGAACGTGCTTCGCCTTAGCTGGTGCCGACTGTTACGTGGGCTCGTATTCGGTTGCATAAGGCCAGTACAGTGAAACCTGCTGCCGAACAGATCCTGAGAATTTGAAATTCTATCCTACGGGAAATTAATGTGGGTTGATGACAACAAGATGCACTCCAGTAGCCACGCCTAGCGCAGAGCTATAGTTCGTTTAGCCAACCGAACCGAATTGACTCACTCAAACAAGGCAGTTCTAACGCAATGGCATGAGAACTCAATGATGTGGTGTAACAACCTGACGTTTAGCACCAGGATCTGTGAAGGTGGTATCGTAACCCAAGGGCACTTCTGTTATTATCGGCTTCACTCAGTTGACTGTCGTAAGCCATGGTTTGCAATCCACGGTCAAGTTTTGGGGTAAGTTCCTAGACAGTCTTACCTCAAATCAAATCAACCTGGGTGAAAAGGTTGAGGGCACGCGATAGTTCTAAAATGTCTACACCATCGTTTCGGTATCCGTACTCTCTAGTAAGCAATACAGATAATTTTCTCGATTAGCTCACAAACCTATCTGCCAACCAAGGGCACAACTGGTCTACTGAACTACACTTTGGCACAATTGTGCCAACCGCATCCTCTGAAGAAGTCGGCTATGATTGGGTGGGATAACAGACTCTATCTACATCGCCTTCCCAGCTGGATACGATTGAACCAGGTGGTGACACCGACATACACTTCACAAACCTTGCAATTACACACAAGTGGAATATAAGTATTTTCCGTAGCGACGGAAATTCAGTGCACGCAGCAAATATCTGCCCCATATGTTGGGCTCCAAACGGCCGGTATTAATCTCTTAAGCCTAAAATAAATTAGACAGACAAGAGCCCATGCGAAAAGACTGTTCCAGTGACTGTTGGTACTTGTAGAAATTCTGGGCAAAGAGGTCAAAGACGCAAACACAGACTACAAAACTGATGATCACTGGTATCATCGGTGCCTGATATGGTGATAATCCTGCAGAGTTCCGTTAGCAAAACACCAACTGCAATCTGGTTTAAGGATCGAACAGAAAATTCCAGTATGTATATTTTTTGGTATCGCTATCTTGATCAGAAACAGCTTCGTGGTGGGAAACGATGATGCTAACCCTCAATTACTTATAAGAAACCATCTAGGAAAAATCCTGGAGGAAAACTCTGGCAGTCACAAGGTGAGTGTTACGTCTTAGTAATTCTTTTCATTGTCCGAGCAGGAAACAAGCTACCTCTTCAGAGCAACAACAGAAAACAGCAAGACGACCAGTGTACTGGTGATTGAGTTTCACCTGCAAACTTGACCTCATTTCTCTCGCTCCTGGAAGCGAAACTGTGAAAAATTCCCTTCATTCAAAACAGTCTCGGACACTAACAGTTCTCGTCGACCTGTCGCCTAACGCAGCTGGTGATGAGATTCTACCGACTGCTCTACTGAATTGTTCACCCCTTGCAAACAAACGAAGGCTGCGTCAATCAATGAAGAAAGCAGAATAACTGAAAAAGTATGGAAGCACATGAGTTTAGAGGTCTTCGTGTACAATGTGAGGGCAACTGAACGAAGACTCAAATACTTGGAGAGACAGTTTACCCAATTTGTTTAAATTCGTTGAAGCAGCACAATACCGCTGAAGTAACAGACCATGTGGTTGAGAGCCTGATCAACTTGCTCGGAAGTTACAGGCAGATGCAGCTGTTTCAGAAATCTCAAAGAACTTTTTGGTGTAAAATGTCGAACTGAATACCTGAAGAAACGATGTCTTGTGCGTCACATGCGTCTAGAAATGTCTGTTCGGAATATCGATCGGGTGACACTTTTATCTTGCATGAATATATTCTTTTAACGCGAAACAAGTCTTTTGATGTCAGTTAAAGGATGAAGAAAGCCTTAGAATGTTCGCCGGCGATGATTGATGCAGCAGATTTGGTGAGAAACTGCAACTTTTCACTAGAAAGTGCTAACCGGTAGACACTGAAGCGGACACTTGATGAAAAATAGTAACCGTGCATTTATCCATCGACGTCGCATTCCTGATATCATTATACTGACAAGATGATGTGTTGACTGAGTCCTGTATAAGGGACGGATTGGAGTGTGGCCCCGAGTCAGTGGTTGTGCCACAGTGGTCACCGGTTGGTACAGCTACTGAACCGTCGCTACCCTCAATTGCCGCGGTCAGCGAACAAACCGACGATCATCTACGCTACCTGAGCTGCCAACATTCTCCTCAGTAGCAAGTCTTGTATAAACTTAATTGCGTTTTCGGTGAGACCTCAAGTCGTGCAATAACACAGAGTGACAAGCAATTTGATTAGTTTCTCATGTGGAATTGCTCGGCTTTGATCGAATCTTCTTCCAGGAGAGATTAAAAGCCAACAAGCAATTACTTTGAGATTCAGCTATGGGGTGGCTAGTTAAGCCCCTCCATAGCTTTCTGAATGGGCACTGACCAAAGGGTGACTGATGAATGGTCAGTGATACTATGCCAACTGTGGACCAACTTATGGCAGGACTATGAACAGTAAGCTAATTTTGCACTAAGCCAATTTATCGCGCAAGGTAAACCACGGCGACAATTTATCACCTGAGAGCCGATAACTCCATCATTGTGTGTTGTAGCCCAAGTATGACAACACTGGAGGCTCGTCCATGATGTAATCCGGTAACGAACAATTTTCCAATAAGGTCATAGCTGGCCAATACAGTAAATGTACAACAAAATTTAATATCGACAGAGAATACTAGATAAATCAGTTAAACTCTCAACGCTGCAACTGTGAGTCTTCCTCATAGCTTGCCAGTCCTCGAATTAACCATCGTGATCTGTTGATTTGCTCTCAAATGTTGTGCGAATTATATTGGTTGCATGACTGGAGGATTATCTCAACGGATTGCGAAAAACTACTAGATTTCCATCCGGTCAGACACAAACAAAATCGCTGACAGTGGGGTCGGTCTTCATCCGCTAGAAACCGACTAATCGAGGAACTCGGACACGTATTCCTGTACACAACTCCAAGTTCGTAGGAAACGGTCGAGACTGTCTCTATAAAACTGCGCTACCCTACACATTGCTTGGGAAGAAATACGCCCAAGCATTTAAACTTCCCTAGTCTACGCCGCCGACTCCTTCCAACAATCAAGCCAACCACGAAACAAACCCAACCCCCACCCTCACAACCGCCAGAGTCAAAACAGAAGCACGTAGTGCAGGCTCTCCGAAAGAAATCCGCTTCAACACGGTAAATTCAATTGTATATTTTGCAATTGTATTGGTACTCTAAGACCTCACTGAGTGTTGCTTGATATCTTTGTTTTAGTAAGAAATATGGGATTACCTCAGTATTTTAAGCGTACCAACAATCGCGGAGTTTCCCTTTTACAAGTGCATTTACGATCGTTTAAGTATGGTGACACCACGTCTTGTAGTAATTGACTGAAAGAGATATCCCCCATGTTTGTCCACCTTTACTTTCATACTGAAGCATGTTTAATAACCAATCAGCAAAAAGCTTCTCTCTCTTTAGGGAGGTGGCTTCATATGATATACGATCATGTAAAATTGCGACTTCCTTCGTACGTACGGCAACCGAGTGGTTACCAGAAAGGCGCTATCGGTGTGTTCACTTCCTGAGTACAGGTTGTCATGAAATGTTCAGCTTCCCATTACGACAGCTCATACCGGTTGACTGCAGTGTACCTTTGCGTTATGCCACTCGTATTCAGCGCATTTTATACATCAGTTCATCTTACTGCTTCCCACTATCAGTCAAGACGATGAAGCAACGACGTCAAGGCACAATGAGTTCGTGGCCGAAGAAGTTACGAAACCATGATTTACTGCCCTGCATGGTAAGCGTACCTGTAGGAACGCAACCAACACTCAGGTGGATCAGAATCGCAACATGCAGAAAGCACTGGTTTCCCGAAGGCCTGGTCTATCGCCATAAATCGAGCGCATGCTTTGACGAGATATGTTGTTGCTGTTACCGCCACCCACGTCTATCTTGTGAACTTTGGATTCCGAAAACTCGCCGAAATCAAGTGTGAGAATCTCCGTGAATTCTACCTTACGGCAACAACGATGTGGAAGTCACAGGTCTATTTCTGAAATCTAGAGTAATCGTGTTATGTAATTTTCATCGCTTGGAGGTACGACGTGCACGGAATAGGACGGATGCCCGAAACGTCGTATATCCCATGGCATCGTCACATCGATACGGTTGAAAAACACGGAAAGTCGATTTCTGATGGTCCCCTGTGGCGACCGAGAACATGATCACGCTAAAACACATTAAAAAGAACCGGAACTTCAAAATACCGCCAAAACTGAGGAAAAGAGCTACGAGCTTCAGTGAGAAATTCAACACTGCTACGCTAGAAACAAGCGGGACGAAACAAGTTAAGAAGTACAAATAATGTGCGGTGGGTTTTTCCGGCGACGAAAATTCTTTAATTCGCAGATAGGTGCTTTTTGAAAGGCATGAGCGTTGACTTCGATGTCATGAACCACTCAGGCTTGCTGGAATGCACATACTGCTGAGAAGACGGTGGTAGTAGGCAGAGGTTTAAGAAGGGAAAATATTGTTACGGTTGCTCTGTTTGGGAGGAAAATAGAGCAAATATCCCTGATATTGAATGTTTATGGTACCGTTGGAGAACTGAAATGGGATGAAGCAGGATCATGCAACAAATGAGTATAGACATACACAACATTAGTACGCTTTCCAATGAATGTTTAAAAAACAAATAAAAACGGAGATTCTGTTTCCAAATGGGAAAAGTAAACTAAAAGGACGCACAAATCCTGTTGAAATTGACTGGAACAACGCTAGTACTGTATACGTAGGGTTGATGAGCATTATGAAACGGGGTATGGGTTGAAATGGCTGCCATTGTGCGTGGGGTTCGGACCTGTCGATGAGCAGGAAAGATTACTACTACTGCTACTCGATGATTGGTGGAATAATTGCTGCTGTTCTTGGCGACAAGATTCAAATGCAGTTGGGCGAAGGGGGCCACGAGCACGACGTACGGTGAGTAGGGGTGTCGCTCCCGGGTACAGAGAAGACCAGGACACATCCTGGCCCGCAGAAACGGAGTTCCGCAAGTTGGGAGTCATAAAGGGTGAAATAGGGGTGTTGGTTGGGCCAGCTGGCGCACTAAAACTGACTCGTGATCCACGACCACTTGCTGAGTTTGAGCGCGCCGAGCAAAAAAGCAACTTCCTGGTCGACGTCCTGCATAAGCTGTCTACTGAACACGAACGTGTGTCAGTAAATCCTGGCGGTCTGATATCACAGTATGTGCTAGATAGAACACGACCGGGCGCTTCAGTGGAGGACGACGAATCCACCTTTGCCTTCTGTTTCGTCAGCAGAGAAGCTGACTCATTGTGAGCAAAACTGACGGGCAAAGGGATCGTGGGATTTGTCGAAGTGGGACGGGAAAAGGCAGTTGCTTCATTTTTAGGGTGCAAAGGTCTCGGAATAGGTAGTAACGGGCAATCTATAGAGGAGGACTGCGGAGTAGTCGGGGCACTGGCTTGGGACGATAAACGTCGCTCGGCCAGAAGCGTTGGACGTCGAGGTGGAACGGGTAGTGATGTCACTGAACGCAGTAACCTGTCGCGACGAGGATGATGATAATCACTCACGGAACACGGTTCGAAGTAGAGTTTGTCTAAGCTTGTTGATGGATGAATAAACAAGGCCGTAGTAATATCATATGGTTTACGCTTACAGTTATGATCTGAGGTCGCTGGAAACGCCAGCTGCTGAGCAGATACAACCGAGTGCGAATACACATCTGACGGAGAGGACAATTCCAGTCTCGACAGAACAGTACAAGGAGAAGGTAGAAGGCTCGCTGATCCTCTGGAAAATGTGGTAAGGCATGAAACTCGGCTCCGTTTACCCTCGGTGGGACTAATATCCAAATTATTACCCGGAAGGTATGTACGGGATGTGGTGGAGCATCCTGGAGCCTCTAGGCTGAGATAAGTAGGGCGATCCCGTTTCTTCATCATTGAGTGCTTAGGTGACAAGGACGAACGGGAGGCAACGACAAACGAAGGACGTCGCACGATTGGCCTCACGCAAGTTGCTGTTGTTGGTGTAGAAGCGGTTGGTGAGTCGATTTTATCAGCAACCAACGCTAAAGTGGCTGGGATAGTGGATTCAACATCCAAGGAGGAAAGGACCGCATGTGGCTCACCTGAAGATGGTTCGGAGGCAGGGAAAAGTTCACGCTCAAATTCAACCAACTGCCCGAGGAAATTGAAATTAGGAGCTATTGTTGCCCGACCGTTCTTGATGATGCTATTAAGAGAAAGACAGAATAAGGGAACCAAAGGATGAATAACCCACAGGACAAACAAACTTTAATTTTAGCGATAAAATAAAAGTCAGCCACAATGGAATAGAAGGGTTCCGAGACTTTGCAGATAACCATTTGTCAAAACAAGCGGCGTGGGTGCTTCAGATCACCATAAACTAGTGTTCCGCGATACGCGAAATTTGGAAGTCGATGAACAAATCATTGACAACAGTACTGGGTCCTGGAATATTTTAGAGGAAAGTGCTATACGTATGTGTGGTCTTCTAGTCAACCGTTCTTCCCTATTTCGCATTGACCAAACACGGTGAGACACCTCGAACAATCAGTCACCTAGTTAAAAAATCATCCACCATTAGTGAATGAATCTAGACTAGAATCTATCTAGACCTCTTTACTTGTCCATCTAACCCCTCTCACTGACTCATCTTCTAAAAATGCATTTGCGCCATGTCTGTTACGCGGGAGGAGTGGACCAATTCAATGCATGAATATAAAAACAGCAGTTTCCTGCCCCGTAATATCAGTACCGGTGATTTCACTCAGCTGTACATCTTGTGACGTACACTGGCACAAAAAATTCGCCTACACGTCACGTGAGTAAATCAGCATGATCGGATAAGAGAATTCAAAAATAAAAAGTCACGTGACACACTAACATCAACAACAACAACCACAAGGAATGTTGGACAACTGTAGTCATTCCCCTACGGAGGGAAAAACCGCACACGACCAATCGAAAATGTTACCTAACACGGACTGTCTTCGTCACTAAAAATATCTGAAAGGGTGGCCGCCACAATCTACTTTGAGGCACCGTAGTAACCATCATACTCAAGTGGGCGAACAGCGACGAAAACAACACCGGCGACTTACGGCGTTTCACGTAGTACCACAAGCAGCTCGAGCATGCAACCCCAGTTTATCGAGTCAAGCAATCGATATCCAATAATAACTAAACAGTCCAATCAAAAGCGCCCTCAAATTCCGGCCAATCTGAACAGCTTAAAAAAGCGCGATATAACCTAGATGGATGCCGCGGCCTACATGGCGTGGCTTCGGTTTAAATCACCCAAATGGTGATTTTTTCATGCCTGGTGGCACCCTTATCGGTGGAATTTTATGGCCATTCGTTGGGCAGCACACTGAAATCAAGTGGTCAGGCAGATACCATAAGAGAGAAGGAAGGCCCAACCATAAATACCAGTGAACAACAATCGACGCATCCTGGATAATCTCACAGTCAGAAGGGGGAAAGGACTGTGAGCCGTGAAAATGAAGAAAGTAGGACGACATCTAACAGACTCAGGCAATGAGAACAATCAGCTGAGTCCATAGAACTTAATAGGTTAAGTTGCTTTAACACCGGCCATGTTGAAAGTTCAGATAACTCAGGCAAAGATCGAACAATCACGCAAACAACTTTGGATGGATTTCAGACATCGAATTTGCTTCGGATTCATTCATCTCACAACAGTATGAAAAACTCCAAAGAGAACAGCCATGACTGATGAGCATGGCAGTTACAGGGGGTATCCTTTATGAACAACGGAATTTTCTCTGCTACTCACATGGACAATTTTTTCGACCTTGTGCATAAGAAGCATATGCTCTGCGAAGGCAGCACAAACTGCTCTCTAACCAGGACTTTGGTAATATGGAAGTAAAGCTGTGCCCGTCAAAGCAACAAACGGTCGGTTTTTTCTGCTAAATTGCGACTAACTGTCTAACAGGAACGGAACCGTCTATTTTCGAAACTGTAACAGATTCAATGCGCACGACGGCACACAAATAGCAGGTTCATCTTCTCACGGGAGTAACTTGCAGTGAAATAACATTAAAAAGCAACAGTGGTCGTCCAGTTGTAACATCGTCTCAATGCCTGGCTACCTTGCCACCCGAAGGCAACACGGGTGCTGAGATGCTCCCAGACTGCCCAAGGGTAGATAGGAACAATAAGATTCCCGTCATGTATTGGTCCACAGGTAAGCAAACTGAGTTCTAAAGAAGTAAAGGGCATAATCCACGGAATAATAATCCATAAGGATTTATCCCGGGAATAGCGAGCGTCAAAAGACGCGGAATTCACCTGTCCACAAAGCGAGAAATAGAATATTTTAGAGCGGAAAACATGAGTCCACGAGATCCCAGAATCTTGGCTGCAGGTGCAGGCTAAAACCTACAAACTCCTATAACACAGTATTTTCATGCCAACGTTGCTCGGTGTTTCCTACAAAATACAGCAAAAAATTCCCCAGATTGCATCTAAATGCATCTGCAAGAGAAGACTGAAAAGCAGTCGATGGTAATTTGAAGCGTCCCGAACAGGATAGAGGAGGTGAACGTTTCCGGGTTTCGTGAGGTGCACTGGATACACACCCACGTGAGGTACCTTAGCTTGACATTGAATTGGCTTTAGCTTACTGCAGATGCATTCAAGGATATATGCAAAGTCACTTTGAGAATTCGGTCCGAACGGCATGTGTTGTTGAAACTATCGGGATTTTTTTATTAGCATCAATCTTCTAGAAAATGCCGAAGACATTAGAGTAAAATCAACTGACATCATAGAGAGCTTGCTCAGATGAGTTTTACAAACCCATATGCTGAAGGAAATGCCCAGTACAAAACCCGATTCTGCGTCACTCTGTTTGCGATTAGAAAACCTGTGACCAAATTTTCAGGGGAAAATTCCTGGTCACAGTGACTAGAGACGCCCCTTCCCCTTGCAAGGATCAGGTTACAGTATATTTCCAATAGGATACCGCTACAAAACACTTGTTAACACGTGGTCACTTCAGATCGCCCACAGTAGATAGGGATGTATTGTAATCACAAGAATTTCTGTGTATGCATGTAACCGAATCAATCAGAGGGATTCTAGTACCCTCCCGTTGCTTCACAACACTGTTGCTACCTTGAGGGAATTTGTAAAGATGAGGCACGCGCGACAGGAGTCTACTGAGTGTCCAGTTTCCAGAGGCGACGTAGATGTCAAAATTCGACTACAATTACAACCGTTAGTGGGGGTTGTCCCCTAGACAGTCAAAGCCGATGGTGTCCCCTCTAGCCATACTGTGAAAGACCGAACCAATCAAACGGCTAAACGAGTTTCCATGTCCAGAATAAGGCAGGCCAAATATATACGAGTGTAGCATGTTCAGGATGTACCAGTAGCAACGTACTACTGAGTTGATGAAACTGAAGAATACATTATTATTGTCCCCATACCAATAGTCATCTCTCACATTACAAAGAGGATAAACGTTGGAAAATACAGAACAACGATACGCAAAAAGCACTTACCTGTAGGCTTTCCGAAGGGAAATACGACAAGTATACATGAGGTATGCTATGGCCAGAGTGGGCGAGCGCGAAATCCCTGCTGAACAGTGAACAAGGACACGGCCCCTGTTAGCCTTCACCTGATCTAAAATAGGTGTGGATGAAGGGATAAGAAAGAGGACCAGCGAATAGACAGGACAGCTATGCCAGTAAAAACTGGTGGTTACTTATGCTGATCACGAGTTTCGTACCTCACGGAATTTCATGAAAAAATGAAACTACCTGAGAAAATCCTAGGCATGTAACTTCGTGGGGAAGAACACGGGGCATTACCTTTTTCAGAGAGAAACCCTGAAAATGCCGCATGTGTATCTGTGTTCGCTCAGCCTATCCGAACGCGTAACATTCAGCCAAATAAGTGCAGCAAACCCTATTTCTCACTTGACTTGAGTTAAATAAAGCTGAATGAGTTCGTTGGTGTTTATCACCACGCCCCAACCAGATATGAATGACCTTCAACTGTCACCAGGTTGACTGCAAACGACTATTGGCAAGTTTTTGATACGGTCATCTGCATGTGTGGGACCATGTACTGGGAAGCTTATTAGCATTTTCACAGTGATACTGTACTAGGATGTACGCAGTACTGCACGTCCCTCGCTCATGATATCCTCCTTAGGAGACCTACCCAGCTCTCCACCTTGAGCGCCCCATAGACAACAGCAGAACACAATGGCCCAACAATATTCCAAAAGTGATAAGTTACGTGGTTTGCTGAGAGCAGGTTGCTTTGTTTAATGAGCACGCCTAAAAGACGCTGTACAATGAAACTACTAGTCGTGGCGGAAAAATTACATCAGCATCGAAATGTTAAAAGTGCTAGAAAATTCTGACGAGGATCGGTTTTAAGCTTAAGTGAGGCTCATAAGGAATACCATCATCAACTGTAGTTCGGTAATGTGTATGGGCAGCTGAAAAGTAAAAAGTACCGTGTACGAAGAGACAACTTGCCGCTCTTTTTCATTAAAATATCAGGCGCGAGTTAACACGGAATACGCCCCCTTTTAAGGTGTAAAATCTGTAGACACGTGTGCTCAAGCCATGAAAATAAGTTACACGCAATATTCCAAAGGGTAACGACGAAAATTCATAAAAGAATTATCGGAAGACATCTTCACAACCCGGAACTTCCTCGCGAAAAGACGCAGATCAAGCCTAACGTTATTCGCATCAAAACACTCCCAAAAGTTGGTTAGAGACCTAATGAAACTTCCAAGCGTAGCTCAGCATCTGTTAAAAGGTCGTCAACCGCCATCAAGTCATTCTGTGTCGTACAAAAAATAGACAGAGAGAACTGTGTTTGATTGCTGAAAGTCTTTACACATGGATGTTTGTTTCTTCTTCGGGTTACAGCTGGCTCTGTTGGTCTCAAGATGATGTCGTGACTAAGGGCTTAGATAACACTTCAGTCAAAGTAAGCACTCGTCGGTTTTCATCCATGATTCAATCCCTACCAAACCACAGGCTTAAAATCTGACCAGATCACCAGTCACTACTGCTACCACCAACACTCCCGTTACAAACGTCGCAATCAACAACATTACCTCTATAATGAGGAGAAACAAGAATGTGGACAACTAGGTAATTAGAAAAGGTCTGAAAGGATGTTAGCCCAGAAAGACAAAGATAGAGTTCGGGGAAGCTGCAAAATGAAGCAGTTTCGGAAGGCGATGAGAATTGACAGGTCAGCTTCAAAATGAGATCGAGGCAGACGGAAAATGTGCGTATCGCGCGCGAAAATACTGAACTTATGCCAAATATAATGAATAAAATTGGCCAAAGTTTGGAACGTCAAACATGTTTTTCAAACGAAAAAAATGTCTAATATTAAGATACTACCAACGTCTCAAGCCCAAAAACTGGCTGACGTAGTGTCATGTGACA